AAAAAAAAAATCAACTTTCGCAATGTTTTTAGAGAAATGTTTTGCAAACCCAGCGTAGAAGTCATTGAGACAGATGAAACATCAGAATCATATCATAGAATTATAGTATAATTTTTCATGTTCACTAAATAGTCTAATCACTGATGCTGACCCTGCTCTATGCACCGTGGTTCTCAGTGCAGACTTTCTGTGCGATCCTACTGAAAACATGCCATCTCAAGATATGCGGCGACTGAGGAGTGTTTTTTTCCGTGTATCGTCATTGCTGCTGCTGAGTGGAATTGATAGCACCTATCTCGGACTTTTTTAAGCTGCAGCATCTTTTGCTCTTTCCTGTTAGTGACATGGAAGAACCTATTGATGCACTACCAATATGGAATTAGGATTGAGCTTCTTATAGGGTACAGAATCTCAAACTTCCCTAAATGCCGGTTTGTCACAGACCACTTGGTTACGTAAAATAACTGCAAGTGAATCAAGCACTAGTAGCTAAAACTTATTATCTTGAGATAGACCAGTAGACGGCGAAGCAGATAATTAGGAGTAAATAGTTCTTTACCTTGCGCTTATTTATTCAATAGTTGGCCTGCTTTCTGTTGATCAAGCTAAGGTTATCAGAAGTTGGTAGCAATGGGGAAAGCTAGTTTATTGAATTGCGTGACCACAGGAGAATGAGAAACTTAGCGATCTCATGCAAACCCACTAATGATGGTCTCTTTATAAAGAGCTGGTACTTTATATCCTTGCAACCTTTTAAGCTTGTTGTAAATTCTACGGCAAACTAGCTTTATCCATACTTTCACATTTTTCAAAATTTAACTTGTGTTTGGCTTAGAAGTTACCAGAAACTCAAAGCGCTGCAGAGTAACATAAAGGAGAATACAAATCGTTTGGACAAAAATACAACTCTCAATGCTCTTTGACTCCACTCACAACTGCCAACTTCTGAACATCTTAACGTCATTACAGAAAGAAATCAAGCTAAACTCTGAAGTGATAAGCGCGGATAGCTAGAAATTGGGCTAAATTCTGACCGAAATTGGTACTTGTCTGCAGCGAATGGTAGATTTGGCCGACAGCGTCGCGTCGATTTGAGTATAGAGGCACGTTAATGTCCGCTAATATCGAACGCAACATGATCCTGCTTGATTGTGCCACCATAGAGCTTGCACGTGGAAAGCAATTATTCATTCATCAACTCCAAAATTAACACCACATCTCTAAATATGTGACAAAGTCTGGCATGGAGAATGCGTTTGAGATCTTGTACTCTAGGAGATGCTCATTTCTGTTGTTGTTAGCGTAGTAACAGACTTGTTGCTCAAGATTCCTCCTCCAAAAGCGCAAATCAAAGGAAAGCTTAATTAAGTAACTCCGAGATGGCTCCCATCAATTCTAGGATCAATCAGTAGCAACAATCGAAGACAGAAGCACAAAAAACTAGATCGACGCGCAGTTTGAGATCGCATGTTTCAAATAGGATTGATCGGATACCTCACGCACTGAGGCCTCAAAAGCAGAGTCCGGCAAAACTAATAAGATATTGAGTTTTTATCAGACAAGGATGGCTGATTTCTTGACTAAGCTATTCCTCAGATACTAGAGCAATAATTCGGTAAGCGAAAAAATACTCCAGCGTTTAGTTCAGCCCGCCCAGTGATTTCTCCCTTACCACCTCCTGTGTTTGGCTTCTCTCACAAGCAGTGCTCTCTAACGAGAAAGGCATGCGATCATACCAAGACAGAAAGTTCAATTTGAAATCGTGCCTTTGCATGCAAAAGAAATCGAAGTTTCTGTTTTTGACAAGTGATTAAAGTTTATATCTGTGTTCGACACGCTAAAAAAGTCCAGAAGAAGCGGAAAACCAGGAGTCATGTTTGCCCGGGCACTGCCTCTAAGCACGCGCCGCATTGAGTATGTCCAATGCTAGTGAACGGACTTATTTAATGAAAAGTGACGTGAAAACTTATATTGTATATGACGCGATGATCGAGTTCTTTACCTCAAGGACCTTTATGCTACATCTCACTTTACATGCAGAATATATCTCTGAAAATATTGGAAAACACACTTTTATTCTAACGGCGCGGAAAGTGGAAAATCCACCATAAAAAAAGAGAGAAGACGCTGTTTCATTATTTTACTTCGGAATTCCATGCTTCCTCACGAGAATGGTGTTACTTATAAAAAATTTGGCTCCCCTTGACCCCTTGTCTCCCCTTCCTTACTCCTCCTTCCATTCAGAATTCTACACCTTTCGCTTCTCCAAGTGCAGGGAATTTCCAGCGTTTCATTACTGTACTTGATTTGCTGGCATGAGGCGCAGTCAGCTAGTCGACCACTAATCAGTGCGTACTCATGAAAAACTTATGACGTCGTGGACGTTATATCAAAAGTTTTCGTTCTTCATATCATGAACTTTGACTGAGAGATCGCTTTTTTATGTTATACTGTCAGATCTCGCTTATCTTCTGCTATATAAATCGCCCATAGTGCATTTGTGAAACACCATATGAACACAAGGCCAGCTATATAGCACGATCACATGAGACTATTTCAGTGTTGATGAAAGTTACAAAAAATGAACTCACGACCCGACATAATGACGGAATTTAATCCGACGCAGCACGCGCGAAATCGCAACATGATACAGATTCTAATTTTCGATGCTACACTCGAAGATCTTTTCGCCATGGGTGTGAATCTTGAGAGAAGCTTAGTGAGTTTTAACTGAAGTTGTCTGTAATTAAGTAGCGTTGTGTTATGCATAGGACGCACTCGGATTCCGCTCGACTATCTCGGAATTGCCCGTTCCTCCTGCTATTACAGACAACAGCCCTCTATCGTCGCATGATTCTTTCGATGTGAGTAGGCCGTTTCCCTTCCACATTCTTCTACATTCCAGCTGAAAGTCTCCAAAAAAACCTTGGTTCAAATTAAACCAACATTCGCTCAGATGTGTAATGGATATGCGGTCCTCCCAGAAACGACTCATCAACAGGATACTCTTCTCCAGGAGCAGTTCATTGAGGAAAGAGACGAAAATGATCAAGTATGTTGGAAATTTTTGAGAATTCCATCAATCTACGCCTGTCATCAAGCTTAGCGTTTCCAAAACAAGCTTTTTGAGAGAACAGAAAGTGTGCAATAACAAAGTGCTATGCGCAATACTTACGAGGCTGATGGTCCCTACCTTAGTTGATGGTCATTACCTGCAAGATGAATGCTTTCGAATTTATCTCGACACGTTGATGTCGAATTCTGATGCCTTGTGAAAGAAGTTAAAGTGATTAAGAACTTGTGCACGGCCAACAAATTACTGCTAAAAATACTCCCCTCAAAAAGAAGCAGCAGTAGAGTCTCATTTTGGCGAAAATATTTTCTGTCGAGCCTCATTTAGTACTTGTTTAGGTGGAAACAAATTTACAAGCATTGGTCGTCAGATCGGGCACGTTTGAGAACTACACGAATTTTTCAAAAGTTTTGCAGATTGTGAAGAGGAACTTACATTGTTGTTTCAGCGCATTACATGTTTTAAGCTGTTCTAGAGGTTTTCGCTTTTGTTGGTCCAAAAGGCCGCATGAATTTTTATCAGAAAAACCATCATTATCCTAGGGCTTCATTGCATCTTTAAAAAGTTTGAGTCATATTCTTTCACGTAATACATTGCCTGTTTGTCCATTTGCCGTTTTGACAAAATCCAGAACATTAATCTTTATTAATATACATATAAAAGATAGAGGCAACGACAAGCAATTTTTTGAGGATCAAACTGGACTAAGAACAAAAAATAGTAATTGCAATAGTTTTGTTGCATTTGAGCCTTTACCTACTAGCGAAATGAACGACAGTTGTGGCGGCGAGCAGCATTGATGAAAATACTTTTTATGCGATCGTCATAGACAACAACAAGTTACGGGCAACGACTGCAGCAAATGTTTGAAGGCAGTTTCCGGGCAAACTAGGAATTTCGAGTTCCCCTTGGATTTTGATGACCTATCTCTGATTGAGCTACTCCTCAGGCGGATAGCTCGTTCTGATATTCGAGAAAAGTGCTCCGCACGTCTGTGTCAGCTCCCGTCCCCCTCCCCTACATTTTTTTAGAACGGTCCGCCCGTCCAACGATTTTTCTTTACCATTGGCCGTGTTTGGCTTTTTTCGCCAGCAGAGCTTAGCAAGGCATGCGATCGTTTTGACCGGTTCAAGTTCGCGTCGCAGCAACTCATCCCTTTAGTCCAAAAAGCCCGATCTCTGTTTTTCTGACAATTTCACGGTAGTTCGAATTGATAGTCGTATTTGGCATAGAAATGGTTAGAAAAACATAGCAAGATCAAAATTTTTGACTCTACCACCAAACAATTTCCTAAAACTGCCTTTAAGAGCCCTGAGAATGGCACTTTCGGCGTTGGGGGTGGGACAAACTTTGGCGAGCTGAATCCTTTTTTGCATAATCATTACATGACTGCAAAACCACGAGAGAGGGAGGGAGGGGAGGGGAGGGGAGGGGAG